GCTCGCATGGGTGGCGTTTGGTTTCTCCCGCACTGTAACTGTCACTTCGCGATCCGATCGCCTTCACACATCCTTTGCTTTCGGGCCGTTGGCGTTTGTACTAGCGCGTTGGCTATCGATTGTATGGGCGCGGCTCGATACGAGAGATTCCCAGGGCAGGTACTTCGGCCACTCTCGTAAACGTCGTTCTGAATCCTCACGATATCTATTCTTGCATCCTCTGGAGTTACGGTGTGTGGAGATAGATCTGTAGACTAGACACTAGATAGCTGTTAGCTCGAAAATGGTACAAGATACTTCCAAGCTATTTCTCGTGACGTTCTATTTTTAGATCTGCCCAGGTATTGCAGCCCGTATCCAGATGGCGGTTCCGTGGAGTTCAAAGATACGATACTGACAGCCACCCGTGCTGTACATACGACCTGGCTATCGAAAATGACAGTCAGGAGCTAAGCGATGTGGATTGCATGAAGAGCCAATACCACGCTGCAGAAGGTACCTCCATTGCCGAACGTGAGGCGGTGATAAGTCCGGCGTCTCATCCCCGAGCTGAAGGAGTATAGATGGCCGGCAGCCCAGGTTTTGCATGATTGCCTTGGCGCACGAGCTCTGATGGTGATGTCGTTCTGAAAGGTGCTGGGAGGCTGGGAATGTGACGGTTGATCGTGGATGATCTGGTGGGCGGAGATTGATGCGCCGATCTGACTAAGCAGCGGCCGTTTGAGTCGTGCAGCGTCATTCGCGCCATCTTTCCTCTCCGAGTCGGTTCACGCGACATCGCGACATTGCTGCCCTGATCAAGTGATCTCTTTCACGTGTTATCCATCCACCGAACGCCTCGTGCCTTCCCGCTCGACGTCGCGATAGTCGCAGAACAGCCCGCGGCTGCCTCTCTGATCCTCATCATCTCCTAACGGCGTATCCGTCCCCGAAGCTCCGCCGTCGTCCTTCCATCCACCACGACACTCGCATCACCTACCAGCGCCACAATGGCACCATCGCGGTCCCGAGCGCCACTGCTCTCAATACTCGCCCTCACATCCCTCCTTCCCTACACAGCCTGTGCCTTTGACTGCAAAGACATTCTCGCAGATGGCCAGCACTTCAACTTCAAAGAGCTTGGCGGCCCGCACGTAGTCCATTACAAGGAGTCTGATATCGCCAAAGAACTCGAGTGGAAGTACAACTTTACCATCGACATCTGCAGCAACCTCAAATGGCACAAAGGCGGTAGTCTGGCAACCGAGTGCCATCACGGGTCTAGAGTGTGTGGAATCAGAGAGAATATCGATTTGAGCAGTGATGACAACTCTACTATCACTCCCATCGAAATCGCCGGAACCTATGCGACGCAGAACGGGAGGAGCATCGATGCCAAGTTTGAGAACTTAGGCCACTCCAAGAGCAACAATGATGCAGGATTAGAGGGTGTCAGGGCAACGCTGAACGGAGGCAGATTTCCGTTCAACGACAAGAAGGAAGGCATAAACCAGCGTGCGATCATCGAATTTGTCTGCGACAAGGAGAGAACAGGATTGGAGGGTGACGAGATGGACAAGAGCCCGCACCAGGATGACGATAAGGAAGATGACGGAGGCGACAAAGGGGATGACAAGAAGGAGGGCGACGACAAGAAAGAAGAAAAGCTGAGGAGGAGAGAAGAGAACGGCAAGAGCAAGTGCGAGGACAACGACAACAGTCTGCGCTTCTGTGGCTACGACATGGAGACGGAAGAGAAAGACAAGAAAGTCCAGACACTGCGACTGCAATGGCGGACCAAGTACGCCTGTGCAGACGCGCCGTCGCCTGACGGTGGCTCGCACTGGGGCTTCTTTGGCTGGTTCTTCATCATGTGAGTTGCCCGACCTTATCTCTACATCTTCACAGTGTTCTAACAAGTATCCAGTCTCTTCCTCGCGATCGCTGCCTACCTCATCTTCGGCTCGTGGCTCAACTATAACAGGTACGGAGCGCGCGGATGGGACCTTTTGCCACATGGAGACACGATCCGCGACATCCCGTACATCGCGAAAGATTTCGCGAGGAAGGTCATGGGGACTGTACAGGGAGGCGGAAGCAGAGGAGGCTATGCTGCCGTTTAGAGCAACATGTCAACATTCTGGGATGGAATCTAGTGATGCAGCGATGCAGTGATGCAGGAGATGCTTGTAGGATACGCCTGGTGAGGAGGAAAGAGCATACAAGGCGCTGGAGTTATGGATTTGGCTCATGGTCAGCACTTGCGACACTTACCTAGATTTTGAGAGATGCGGAACGAGGAGTGATACAAACCTTGGATGCCTATTGAGTCGACGTGTGTTTCGTCGAGTATTGCCATATTGAGTTTCCCATCATCATCCTGCGTTGGAGAACACTGTTAGATTGCTTTGACCTTTGTTGTACATTCACATACACAGTGTCACATGCATTGAAGTCACGGGAAGTTATATATTGCCGTCACTTTTCGAGAATCGGGTGAAATAACCTCTCACTCTCTCCAGCGCCAGCCGTGCAGATGCCTGACCTCAACACTATGTTTGCAAGAAATCAGTCCAGTTCCAAGCCGCATCGCCGAAAGAAATCCGTAAGTTTCAGCCCAGACACCAACTTTGAGCCTGGCCGGGCTACACATCAGTGGAAGCGCAAAAGCCCCACGTACTCAGCTGGGAAGTACAGTTGCCCACCAGATATCGGAGCCTGGCTGGACACTAGCTTAATGAGCAACGAACTGGAACAGCTTCTCAACTTCAAGGTCCACGCCATCTTCCACGTCCGCAACGCAGACGAAATCGACGTCCTACACAACTCCTTCCACGCGCAAATGCGAGCAGGCCTACCGCTTCTTCCCGGCTCCGAAACTCTTCTCAGAGACCATCCGCTTGGTTTCGAGGTTTTCAAAATCTACAAGGACCTGACTGAGGGTGGCGTCGCTTTTTCTAGCCTTACAGGGGGTGACTGGACGAGGGCGAAAGTATTGGTTCTTTATCAGGATCAGAGGGATAAGTCTGTGACGTTCCAGTTTGTTAATGATATGAAGGAAGATCAAGAAGCTCATGAGTGGATACTTGAGTTGCAGCGGACTGTGCCTAAGAATAATGTGGGGTTACCGAAGATGGCTAGGTTGATGAAGTGGAGGGATGATTGTTTTGCTGAGATGTGCGGGTTAGATGAGGATATGCAGTAACAACTGGGTCTTTGAGAAATATACGAAGTTACAGTGAAAAGAGTAGAGTTTTGGGTGCGAGGTCAGTCGTCTGCTCACCGGATCCGGCAACGCTGTAATGAAGTCCCAGCGCCGCAATCGTTTCAACGTAGGGCTCGTCATGCCGACTCAATTGCGATGGCTGTACACAGATGGCAAAAGTCACAGTGAACGACAGCGCTCACCCGCAGCTGACAGCGCGGCCAACTCAAAAACGACTCTTTGTTCCCAAATAACTTTCATGTACAACCATTCCATAACCCCATACATTGTTCGTCAACACATACCCAGTTACAACAGTGGCTAGCAATGACGGCTGGAACGCCAGCAGTAAATGCCATGTTGGCAAGCTTACTTCAAGACAAACTTCAAGTAACGCAGTCCGCCTCCCTTACTCAGGACGATTACACCAGCCATAGTCACATCGAAGAGCGACTGCCTGCCGCGGAAGGCCATCCACCACTCTCTTTCAACAATTCTCCCGGAAAAGCTAGCAACTTCGACGGCAATGGTCGTCGCGTCGGGACTAGATGCGGTCATGTCCTTCACCCCAACACAGACCACGACGACGAATACTGCCCAGTATGCAGAGTCGTAGCTTATCTGAATCTACTTCGGCGCATCACTAAAGATTGGGATGGTAAAGGGGGCCCTTGGAGGCCACTGACAGGTCAAAGTACTGAGAATCGAGACGCTTATTGCCATATCTGGCATAAAAGAAGACTTGAGCTTGCACAGATCGTGATGCGTTATGAGGAAGACGCAAAGAATGAAGCATGTTGGGAAGAACAGCACCCGGGAGAAGTTGAAGCGGCTCGGAAGACATGCTCAGCAGGCAATGCAGTGGCCATTGCGCGTGCTATGTCGAAGTACCCCGCCAGCGTAAGGACTGGCGACATCGCAGATCCGGACTTCCGCACCGGCACTCCAACAATGTTGCCTAGAGCATCTCCAAACCGTCACACCTCTTCATCGAAAGCAAAAGCTCCAAAGGCGAAGCGTGTCCAATTTGCGTCCGACACGAACTTCAAAATCGCTCGGCCACGTCAAACTTACTACCGTAGCGCGAAGGGATACGTACCAGGAAAACACGCAGCACCCTCGTCGAGCACCCTACTCAATACCTCGAACATGCTCGTCAAACGCTACAACGTTCGGCAGCTCAAGATCATCAGGGAGTTTGATTGCCCGTGGAACATCGAGCTCATCGACGCCATCGCTTTGTCCAACCATGAGGGTATTGCAGAACTGCATCCTCGGTGGCCCGAAATCGGGGATAAGATATCGCGTATACATGATGGAAAAGACGATGTGCCGAACGAGACGTTTATGAGAAGTCTGAGTACTGCGGATTACTTACTCGTGAAGACTGATGAGAAAGATCAGGTCACGCATGTTATTCCGTATACAACGAGGGATATTGAGAATGTTCCAGGAGATGATGTAGAAGAGGCCCGCGTGATGAAAAACAAGGGGTGGACGTCGCATATAGAGATCATGTCGGATGAATGTCGTAATGAGATATGGAATAAATACGAATGTGCAGGAGGTGCGACTAGGACGGAAAGTAATGGGCGTAAGTAGGAAGATGGCAAGGATGTTGCGATCGCAGCCCGGGGAAAATGAGCGTTAAGACTGTTTACAAGGAACACTCAGGCCCTAGAAGATCTTGCGGGGCCAGTTGTAATGCGAGAATAGATGGGCGATTGCGATGTGACGCGGATTGATCTGAGCAACGATCAATTGAATATGACGTAGACGTAGCGCGCTCAACTGAAGCTGATGCATTCATCCTACAATGCATTGTTAGTGCCCTGACTCTTCTCAAATGATTCATCGCAATGGCCCAAACACCCGTGACTGCGCACTGTGCAAACACCCTGTTCTCGGTAGATCTTCCACTTGCCATTCGCTATTGCGCATTCACTTCCAGAACAGTCGACGGAAACAAACTCGAGAATAAGCACGGGCTTTCTGGCAATGTTTTGCGATCCTCCAATACTCACTCATTCACGCCAGCGCAACCTTCCACATCATGCCCCCTTCCATAGCCGAGTACGTTCCCGCAGCCATTCTCTTCTCGCCTGAAGACTTACAGCACTTCACTAAGTGGCAGGAAGAGCACGGTGTAGGCTCGCTGCCTGGTATTGTTCGAAATGCCACAGAGTATTGCGAGTTTCTTGCACATCGGCGCACTGACGAAGAAAGCATCAAGCTCAAGCGCGGCAACATACGGACGCGAAATAGAAACCCTGCGACCATGTGCGGACATGGACTGCATCCTTCAGACATCATCACCGGCGGGTATTGCCCAGCCTGCGAAGTAGAGATGTGTGTCGAGTTCCTCGATGCGCTTGGCAAGGTATTCCAGAAATGCGGTGGCCCCTGGCAGGAAGCGCGCGTTCGCAATGAGTTCGCTCTAGTCAGACAGTGTTGGCACCTGGCACGCTATCAGTTGGTCGAGCTTGTGGAGCTTCTGGAGTGCTCGCAGAAGTATGAAGAAGCGTGGGAGAAACAGCATCCAAGCGACGTAGGGTGTATGTGGACGACAAACAGCTCTTCGAAAGCGATACGTAATGCGCAGATGCGAACGAGATACCCAGCTGTACTGACGGACGCCAATCCCAGGCCTGCAGTAAAGCGAAAGCTTTCATCGTTTGACGTAGCGAGGGCAAAGGTCGCGAAGGCTCGAGTGAAGAAACACGTCACTTTCACACCAGACACCATTACCTGGCCCACCCGCAGCAACGCCTGCTTTAATCGCAACCCGGAGCAGCGCCAGAGTTACCAACCTGGTAGGCATGCTGCTCCACTTGGGTTGGAGTGGATTGACACATCGCGAATGTCCTCTTCGATAGCAGATCTCCTGAACCTGAAGGTATACGCAACCTATGTCCAGGCTGAATTTGACGCCTTGGTCGACGACTCGTCTCTCAGACCCCCTAGTCGCTACCAGGGTATACTATCCCTCCACCCCGGTATACAAGCGATTTCAGCGTTTGCCAACCAGTTCTTGCAAGGTGCGGAAACGGCGCGGGAGGAGATGCTCGAGATGATTAGCGTCGCCGACGCCCTTATAGTCCTCATCGGGGAAGAGGATGTGGTGGTAGACATGCATCTCTCTGTTTCGGACGATGTGGAGGATGAGGATGGTTATGGCGACGAAGAGGTGGATCAGACAAGGTGGACCTGCTGGTCCAAGTGCGGCAATGAGGCAAAGCCTGACGTTGGTGGAGCAGCTGGTCTAGCTGCCAAATTCGCTGTTGACGACGAGAAGGCGCGGAAGATGTCAGAAGATAGATGAGTAGCATAACTGCGACGCACGTTATGTCTGGAAAATGTTAAATAGTAGCATATTGAAGTGTCTAGATCTGAAATCTTTACAGTGAGTGGGCATACCAACCGTAGCCTTCCAAGGTTCGTAGTATGAGTTCAATGCGTGCGCTTTCAACCTTGGAATTGTGGGTGAATGGCGGTTGATTCCCGCGGTCAAGGAGAGAAGCGAGATAAGAAGATGGGCACCGGAGGATAACCGAATGCATGTCTTGGTAGTCCTTGCCGCTGGTGATGCGTAGTGGTGGGTAGAGATGAAGTTCGCGCAACGCGCCGAAAGACGCGCCAGTTTCGCGCCTGCCCGGCTGCTCCGCCCCGCCGCGTTTGCATCTTCTTTGTTCACTCTGTCTGTGGCACTGTTCAATGAAAGCTTTTAGGCTTAAATGGAACCCGCAACCCCGCGCCTGAACTGAGATGTTCAGTCAAGCCGCGAGGGCTCCAGGCAGGCGTCAGGCCCCCAGTGCAGCGATGACGGCGGGCCGGCTACACATGCCACGGCGCCGTTGCACCACTCCCCAAAGAGCACGGCATCCCGTCGCAGCCTTGCGCTAGGCTTGTACAGCTCTAGCAATCCGCCCAGATGCTCTGCTCGTCGCGATATAAAGCATGGCATGCGACGTGTCCGTTGAGAGCCATCTCATCTCAACACCAGCATGGCTCTCATTACGCTGCCACCGGAGCTCAAGCTAAACATAGCTGACAGCTTGGACCCGGACTCGACTCTCAATTTCGCCCTTACCTGCAGAGACCATGCGACACTGCTCAAATCCTTGTTGAGACAGCATGCACGACTACTTGCGAAATGGAAGGTCATCGACACGACCGATGCTCGTACGCTCCTTTGGGAGACCTTGAGAGACGTGATAGCAAACCCTCGACTAGGGTGGTACATCAGGGAACTCAATCTTCCTGAAAGCCGGCAATACAATTGGAATGCGAACGAGAGTTTGCGCAATTCCCACCCAAAGCATGGCGTTGTGCCATCCGAAAAAGACAAGGCCTTGTTCATTGAGGCAGCAAGGGGGCTGCAAGATTTGTTCCCGGGGTTTGGCGTAGATGAATCGAATCTGCTGAGACGATACTCTCATGCTTTCAACTTTTCACCTCGCCCGTACGACACGATTGGATCTATCGAAGATCGAATTCGCGCAGGCTTCGAGGACGCCATTATCGCGATCCTTCTGCACCATCTACCTTATCTCACGACCATCAGACATTCAGAAGTCGGCATGGAGGACTGTCTGGAACTTGTTCTATGGCAGATCGCGTTAGGATACAAGAACCCGGTCATGGCACCAAAGCTTCCCCTACAACATCTCAAGACGGTCGCCGTGCGTTACGCTCTGGACGAAGGAAGCAGCTCTCCTGACTGGGCGTGTTTTTATCTCAGTATCCCTTCGGTAAAGACGTTTGTAGGGCAAGCAATGGGTGGTTCGCCTAGCGAGGACGTCCTACGCACTTTATTCCCCACAGGTGCTGCTCCGTGCTCTAACGTGGAAGAGCTATTCTTCAGACATTCTGTCTTCGATGTGGATGGCCTAGCAACCATACTCGCGAACATTCGGCATCTAAAGAAGCTAACGTACAACGGTGGTGATGCTCTGGTGTCCGATTCGAGCTGGTACGAACCAAAGAAAGTCATCCGAGCAGTTGCTACACACGCCGGCCGCTCGTTGGAAGAGCTCATGCTCAGCGAGGAGGACACGGATGTAAGTCACCAACCCCCGTCAATGTTCCGAACTGATATGAGTTGACAGAGTGAACCTCCTGAGGATGGCCCAGCGATTGTTTCTCTCCGAGAGTTCCAGAAGCTCCGTGTACTCCACTGTCAATGGCGCATGCTTCGCCCCGACATGGCAAAAGAGGGAGACCCTGAACATGACGAGCCGCTAGAACAAGGCTATTACCGAATGGAGGATTACGAACAGATTGATGTCGACTTCGACGTAAGGACCCTTCTCCCAGAGTCCTTAGAAGAGTTTTATATGAACGGCGATTTCCACGACTATGATGAATGGGAGCACATGGAAAATACAGTCAGGGCCTCAAGCGCCTTCACGCCACGCCTGACTATGGATAAGACCTGTATTAAGAGAGGAGGTTATTGGAGTGATCGAATCGGTACCGCAGAGGAACCGGATGGAGCCTGGTCTCATCCGCTCGGCCGCCTTTTCGAAGGTCATCATGGTTAAACTCGACAGACTATATGTCTCATCTCATTCTCGATTGTAACAGGGACACCAAATTTCGGGTCTGTGCGCGCTTGCTAGGCACACGAGAATTGCTATAGCAGTGCGCACGGCTTCTCATCGTTCATCGGAGCGGGTCCTCTTCTCCCAATGACGCACTGGAAGAATTGACCATACGCCAAGAACAATGACGAGAACTAGGGGACTGCTGGAGCCTGGACACCCCTTTCGTATGTGTATATAAACGTGCGCTCTCCGCAGCTTTACAAAAGATCTCATACCATACCTCTACCGAGCAAATTTCTACAGCGCGCGCTTCTCCTGATACCTGTACTGTCAGTTATTGGCGAATATCCAGTGCACGACACCAGCACCTAATTCCATCAAAGACGATACCGCAATGGCTCCCAGAACAGTCTATACATTTGGAGGCCGCTACAAAAGCATCGCTGCTGTCGAAGATGCGCCATTCGCGGAGTTCATCTCTGTGAGAGAAACTGGCCTCAAACTCAACGTCGTCCACCCGGTCCCTGTCGCGTATCTGCGCGATCTGAACTCTCGTGAACGCGATGCGGTCCACAAGCACATCACTTCTCAGCTATTCAGCAACAGCTACAAAGCCGTCGGATTTGCCAAAGCTGCAGAAGAAACCTTGGGTCTTTTGGAGACAGTCCAACAGGATATGGACCATGATCGCTCGACCGCTGCGGACCTAACGACCACGGATGCGACCAGCAACCGGACTTACCACACGACAAGAGAGCATCAGGAGTCCCGGGGCAAACATTCCTCCATGCACGTGGAGGCTGACACCAATGTCATGAGCGGCTCAAGGTCAGGCGCCCTTGAGCGTAGCCGGAATATAGATAAATGGAAGAGTACCGTACCCCCTGGCTACCCTCCGCCCTCCGTTAGTACGCCAAGATCGGTCTTTCAGTCTAAGAGTGGCAGTAGATCGCGATCATCCAGCACCAGCAGGATGCGAAAGCCGAGCAGACACACCGACTTCCTTAAGGACGCAAAGCTCGACGAGAAGACACGGATTATAGTCGTGGAGCACAGCGCTGCAAGCCGCGAACTGACACTTCAGGAAGAGCACCTCGCCAGTCTTGAGTCGCTGGCTTTAACCGTCACCAGCTCAGCTGCGCGGCGCGATCTATACGGCGCCATTCGGAAAGCTCGCAGTGCAGTCGAGAAAGTGCGCGTCCTCGAACGCAAGTGCAAGGGCGCCTTATCTGACTCCCGGGCGCTCGTCGTGGATGCTCTCGAGCTTGCTGATGATCTGTGGGAGACGTCAGATGCGGCGGCGGATGAAGCATCAACAGTTTCATCGCCGAAAACGATTTCTTCGCGGACAACCGATTCTTCGCGGACAACTGGTACTTCCCCGACACAGCGGAGTACATCCACTGCCCCATCGGAGCCTGAATCTTTGGTACCGGCCCGGTTCGCCTCTCCCTCCGAAGTTGTATCGTTGAAGCAGGAACTGCAAAAGATCGACGATAGTCTTTCTGAGTCGATGAGGACTTTGAACAGGGTCATCACTCGATCCAGTAGCCGAGCGGGCGTCATCAAAAGCATAGATCGCGCACGGGCATGCCTTGACAAACTTCACGTCGCGCGAGAGCGCTTTTCGGGCTTGGACGACGAGAAGATACGCAAATTCGGGGCTGCCACACTTGCAATCGCGCGGACAAGGCATCAGGAAGTATTGCGCGTTCTAGATGCAGCCAAACAAGAGCAATTACGACTGGACGGTCCTACGCAAGCGAAAGGTAGTGGAGGAACACGAGACACTGAGCGTCAGCAGCCACCGCGAATGGAAGAAGAGCTCAATCAAACCATTCATCGTATCTCTGAACTTGGGCTTGCCGACGCCAAAGAGCTGTTGCGACAGCAAAAAGACGCTCTTGATCAGATTGTTCCGCACAGGGTTGCTGAGACGCACAATGGACACCGCCAAATGGGTCCTAGCTTGTATGACCAATTTCTGCAGGCAGGTGCACCTGAGGCTTACGGGGAGCCAACGTCGTCCGTAACGGGATTGCCGCCATCTCGGTACCTGGATTGGGATGAGTACACATGTGCACAATATTTTGAAAGTAGTTGGTCCTGGGAGGATTGGGAATAGCCATCTCCATACAGCATACACTATTCGGGCAGCCAGAATATGTAGAGAAAAACACATTAGTCTTGTATCAGGTTTTCTCAACTGCACTTCAAATCAAACTAGCGAATTGATAAAACTCTTCATAGTACATCACTAATATCTCTGCAGCTAGAGACCTCAGACATCGTAGAAAGGCTTAGATACTGCCGAGGTTCTTAGGAGATTGTGAAGTGGCTGTTGTTGACTGATAGATTCTGCTGTTAGATCGCCGAAGGCGACAAAACTCGGGACCGATGGGTCGCGACCACGGTGAAGGTGGCTGCAACGGGTGGCTCGAGAGACTGGACAGCTCACACACGTTTGATCTTTCCACTAACCGTACTTTGTTCCCTGATTCTTCCTTTACCTGCAGCCACTGAGGAGAAGTGAAAGGTCTAAGTTGTGAAGTTACTCGATCTGCCGATGGCTATGCGACCGCGTTCGGGCATAGCTATATAAGGCGCGCCTCCTTCACAGCTATCGACGATTTGTCTACTTCTACTCCAACTCAGGTGTAAATTACAGCTTTGAGCGATATCTACAAGCTGCGAACGAGTTACGCCGGTATTATCAGTTCGCCATCAACCCATCCAAACCCCACCCACCACACCAGTCTCAAGAGCGGATTCTCTTCTCAGGCTACTTGCAAGTCTACAATCTTGGCCCCTCTGATAACGATAAGATGGCTTCTAGGGCCCGCACACTCCACACCATTTACGGGCAATATCGTACTGCAGCGGCTGTCAGCAGGGCAGCTAATGCCGATTACATCCCGTTGAACGGCGATCGTAACATCAATGCCGTACACCCAATTCCGATTGACTGGCTGGACGAAGAGCTATTGCCGAGCGAGCGCGATCAAGTCCGCGAACATGTTGCGTCTCTACTGAGTAGTCAGCGACGCCAAGTTCCCAGTTTCGTCGAAGCTTTACAGGGTACCATGGAGAATCTGAACACCATCAGGAATAGGGGTACAGCTACTCGCAGCATTCCCGCGCGTCGATCTGGAGGCGAGACAATCGATCGTCTGGCGGACGACTTCGACACTTTGACCATGGGACAAGCGCACGGCGTCATCTCACCGTCACGTAACGTGCGATTTGCAGAGACGGTTCGGACAGATCGTGTTTCCCGAGACCCTGCAATTCCTGGTCCCTATAGTCCACAGCCGTCCTCACCGACTCCTCGAAGCATTATGCGCTCGCCCGGACATTCTCGTGCGAACTCAGCCGAAGCGATTTTGAGCCATGGAGCGTTGACTCCACGCGATGCTCGAGTGCCCTCGCCCACCGACGGCTACAGTGAAGAACTTGCTGCATTGGATGTACAACTCGACGAGATCTACGCAGCTCTCAACAGCCAGCGTCGCATCGAGGACAATGGGTCATTAGAGCAGCGTTTTGATAGCCTTGCGCAAGCTCGCTCCATGATTCGTCGCCTGAGAGGACTACATCGTCTCAACCAAATCGACATTGACACGGCTCGCGCTGCTGTACAATCAGTGATGACAAGCACTGGACGAAATGACACGCAGCGCGCTGCTGTCACGAACGCTGATAGTAGACCGGAACGCATGGGTCGCGGGCTGCCTCATCGTACTCATGAGATGCGGAGGCCGCGTCCAGTAAGCGGGAGCTTCAGCAGTATAGAAGAGCGGCTGCGCCTAGCGACGGTACAGCATGATCAGCGTCTGTTCGCCCATACAAACGGCATGTTTCCAGTCTGGAGTTCACCTCCCGTTGACCCTCAATATGGGGACGGCATTCAACGGCCTGACGGTACCATATACTGCTGGGGGCCTATGGGCGGATGGTTGATGTACCATAGCCGTGATGGGGCCTATTTTTGCGAGTAGGCGTGTAATTCTGTACCTGGGTAACATACAGAGCGCAAAAGTCGGGTTAGGGAGTGCGCATTCAAAGAGGGATCAAAATAGCGGCAGAATCGGAACTTCGAATCATTCGAATGTACTACATTAATGTGCTTGTTTGTTCTCAGGGTGCGCACACAAACCAGAAACGGAGCGACGAACTAACCAACTGGGCCGTGTTCAACATTCCGTTGGCGCTAGCTGCTCCGAGGTCCTTCCGGTGATGGGCTGACCCGAAGCACTGCGCGCTTGCCATCACCACACAACGTACACAATGCGCGTCATTACACAACCCTAGTCTCAATGACCATTCCCGACGAAGACCAACCGTAGTTCGCGTTAAACGCGCACGCTATTCATTCTTACTTTCCTAATTACATGGCACATGATACCCCGTTCCCTTCGTCATTTGCAGCTCCGCGCCTCATTCCTCAAGTTCCGCTTCAATAACACTCTCAGCGACCCCAGGGTAATTGAAGATGGCTAAGAACTTCAGACCAGCCTTTTGGATTATCGCTCTCCACTCCGCTTCTGTTCTCTCGCGCACAGAAAGATGTGCCAACATCATCATATCCATAGAGGTGGCGGCGATGGTGGGCTTTTCTTCTGAAAGCACAATCTCGTTCAGCAGCACCCGTGAGTAGCCAGGTTTCAGCGCTGGCTTCAGGCTTTCGAGAATTCTGACGCCTTCTTCGTCATTCCAGTCGTGGAGAATCGAGTGCAGTGAGTACGCCCTGGCTGACTGAATAGGCTGAGGCGTATAGAAATCATGGACCTGACTCTCAAAAGGAAGCTCTTCCTTATCCTTGATAGCCGCGATGACTGGCTCTTGATCCTGAAGAATGACTTTGCCCGGATGAGACTGGTGCTGCGCCACGAATTGCTGGACATCGTGCCCACGACCGCCACCGACATCTACCAGAAGGGCCTCGCTGCAGCTGGAGTCAAAGCCTGTGATCAGACGTTCTGCGACCGGATAGAAGCCGGGATCGAACCAATTCGCCTTGCCTGCGCGATACACCGACATGAAGTTGTCGAACTCGTCGAGATGAGGAGGCGTTGCGACCAGCCATGGGAAAAAAGGTAAATCTGTTCCATGCGCATCCTGCAATGGTCCTTCTGTAGGCAAAGTGGGTAGCCTGTAACCAGTCTTCTTGAAATACTCCGGGAAGCCATTGAACGACGGTCGTGACACATCGTAGCAGAAGTCAATGCTCTTCTGATAGTTGTCCGCTGCAAGTTCGTGGCTCAGACGGGTACCGAGGAATCTACCGTTTGAGAAAGAAACGATCTTCATTGCGATCAGGTGACGCATAATCCGTTGCAATAGAATGGCGTCAACGCTCGTCTTTTGAGCAAGGTCGCCCGGACTAACTCCTGCATCGCCTGCATCTCTAAGATGCTGGAAGAGTTTGACTTCAACAGCAAACTTGCAGTGCGCTGACAATGCCGGCTGCAGACTCATCAGTATACTGGTAACAGTGCAGGTTCAGTCACGAACCTCGGCCCAGAAGCTTCTCTGTAGGAATTCACTGGGTATCTCGAGCGCCGCAACCAGGTCTCGACCAAGCTCGATGAGACTTTCTCGCGAGCCGATTTTCCCGGCTTCGTAAGCTCTGCCGGCGGCCGCAACACGCTCGAGGATATCTGGTACAGGTATTGGCATGTCTGGCGATGAGTGTTCGTTCTGCAATGTTTGTCAAAGAATGGAGAAAGCAGCACGGGGCAGCCTTCCATTGCAATCCTTCGATCCTTTCGCACGATAGCCATCGTTCAGTGGGGTTCTTGCCTTCCTATTGCGCCACGCGCCGAAGTACACATGACTCGTTTTCCCACCCGATCGCTCAGCGCTTAGTCGTTTCCGCGATGTTTGGATCTTAGATTAGCTGCGTTGTGATACAAAGGCCTGATATCCGCAGTCTCTTTACCGTCTTTCGCTCGTCCGACCCACTGGACCTCGGGAGTGTTCAACCACGCGAATCCCACACCCGCTGTGTTGGATCAATACGTTTGGGACATCGCCTACCAGACGATTGTCGTCTGCGTGCTTGCTACATTTGCCGGCATGACGTTTCCGGAGACAGGCATCCGTCCGTGCCGCCCCGTCACTCGTTGGCCCACTTGGTCTGGCACTAGATCCTTCGCGCATGCATGAGCAGATACTTCGAGCCGCACCTGTTGAAGCACCAAAAGCCACGTTGACTTTACTAGTCACAAGGTCTAATTAAGTTAAGTTTTAAGATACAGTGTATTTCTTCTCCAAAGAAATAAACACCCTACAAAGTTAAGCTATCTCGCTCAAGATACACAGCATGGGAGTGGAGAGACTACATTTTCTGCTTACGTTCATCGAATATCTCCTGCAAAGGGGTTGTATTGCGGCTCTCCTTTCAAGGTATCAGCTCCAGTGTGGTCTTTCAGAAGATCCTCTTCCCCATCGTCTTCCCATAACGAGTAGTTCAATCTTCCGATGTCTGAGATCGGTGTCTGAGAGTCTGCCACTAAGCAGTACATTGACGATCGTTCCATCGTACGAAGGACCGACGTGATAATGAACACGCTTCGCAAATTTTCTTAGTTTTGCGGGCTTCCTAACACTGATCCGAAGCGATGTCCTGCCTTCCTGATCCTTCGAAGAGGAAGACTTGCCATGTTTCAATAATAGTTCCACTATAGATATGCCGGTCTTTTCGCAAACTCTATGTAGAACACAAATCTCGGCATCGTCACCCGAGCTTTTGTTAGCGGCAAGTTGGTATCCTCTTTGAGAAGCTCCAGCATGCTGAAAAGTCGCAGACGACCACCCCAGGGAGGTTTTCAACCACTATTCATACGCTATTGATACCTACTGCACCAAGCTTGAAGAATGCTAAACCCTTACGGATGTTACGCCATCATACCGATGCGCAGTCGCCCTGAGTCCTGCGAACTACTTTACCTATCTCGAGCTCGAACGGAGTCTTGGGGAGAAATGGATCGCGAAGGCAAAGCGCGTAGGTCAGAATGTGTACGCAAGCTACGAAGTGGATGTAGCTGAATCAACACAGAAGGATGATAATGATGGCACTACTAATAGCGATACTGCGCTTGATCTTTCCTAGCAAACTCGTAAGCGTCGTCAGTGGCCCGCGGCTACTTCAGTGTCTATCACATCGGGACGAATTCGCACAGGACTGGCCTCTGAGCCTGATGACTTTATGGCTAGTGCCAATCAGGCCAATCAGGATGTCGAGAATCCTCTGAAGTGTTGGATTCACCATGCATCTGACTACCCTGTGCTCTCTGAAATGGCGTTAGATTCGTTTAGTCGTCCGGCAATGAGCGCACAATATCCGCGTGGTCTTGATTTAGCATAGTACCTGTACGTAATCCCAAGCCACATAAACCAGATTAGCCGCAATGTGCTTGCAGTACGACTCTATGTACTTGTCTCACTTGTACGCAATCTGCACGCGATTATTTCTAGTCTTGCGAGCTGGCCATTTGTGGTGCACGAATTTCTTGATTGACGCAAGGCTGCTATTGAGGCTGGAAAACCTTGTCACCCAATTACTGGTTCTTTGGATTGAATCATATCGGTCTTCCACGACTCATCTTTACTAGTAAGTCGCACCACGACCCGTGTAGCCATAGCCACACGGGTTGTCCCAATCATGCGCAATGCCATACCACGTGCCCCTTGTCTCCTGGCTGTCCCATCCCATACCCTTGCCAAAGTTGCAGTTGTTGATGACGCGGTTGATGCTCCACTCAGCGTCCTGGCAGGGCATGTAGCCAGTGCGGCAGAAGCCATTGCAGGCGTAGGCAACAATACCGTTGTACGCGTTGCTGGAGACGCGTTTGGCGTTCCCTGGTAGGTTGCCGTTGCCGCATTGACTCATGAGGTCTTTCAGTGCGGCGCGAGCGTTGTCTTGGGTACCCTGGTCGGAGGAGATGCAGTGTGTACCGGTGTTAGAGCGGGAGCAGCCTCGTGCCTTAAGGGAATACGGAGCATGTTAGCTATTCGCTTTTGTGGGCAAGGTCGGGATTGCTCAAGCAAGCCTTACCTGAAGGTCGACCGTGGCGGCCATGATGGTGCTGCTTTGGAACAGGAGCGTTCCGGCGGTGGTAATGGCGAAGAAGCGCATGATGAGCAGGTTTTTGCTGTACAGTACGAACTTCGCTATGTAGACAAGTGTGCTAGACTGAAAGGACCGGTCGACCTGTGATGCCTCGATGTCGATGGAGAGAGTGTGTACTCACATCACAAGGAACCCGTCGTACTTATACACAATGGTTCCATGTTGGCTAGATCACATGATGTTTTACTGTGCAAGTGCACTTACTCCTAAGCTGGTAGCTCCTGTACACGAACGACACAACACGACAATAGTAGTTAGCAGTGCAGACAGCATCAGTCCTCATCAGGACAAAAGTTGACCAATCACACGGCCCCGGGGCCTGTTTTGCAGCTGAGACGTAGCGCTAAGCTGAGTACGGAAGGTGACAGCACGTGCGGATTCTGTTTATGCCTGCTAGATGAGGTCGTCACATTTCCAGACGTGTGGTGGCGTTGTCAGAGTGAGTATTCAATTGCTCGCTCAACCAACCCAGCTGCATGGAGTGTGCTGCCTTCCCTTTCGAGAAAACGCTAGCATAGCTTATTCCAACGACTCTGAACGTGCGTGTCCGTTCCGGCTTCCATCCAATGTCCAGTTCTCGGTTCTTTCTGGCAGCGCGTCCACAAGCGAAATGTCTCCTGGATTAGCAGAGGTGGCTGTTCGTCTCGCCTGACATCAATAGTACCGCCAGCCACAATGGGCGCTTGCGCGATACCTTCAGCTGCTGCGTGAAAAGCCTCATGAGAAAGTTCGCTACGACGCGCATCTGCGCCGCTCTGTACATGAAGGCGAATGCCTTGTTTTGGACCTACCTAGGTAGTATGCAGTAGCTTCAAGAGCTGTGTTAGGTAAAGTGACTGCCTTCGATGTTGACATTAGCCCCAGCTTCCAGGAGGACTTCCACAATATAAACATGACCTGCTATTTCTGCCGCATGTACGGCATTACCAAATCGCCGATTTCCGTTAAGAATTGCTTCTCGATTGACTAGCAGATAGCATAAGCACCTATGGCCTTAAGAGATGCACATCGTAGACTACTCTACCTAAGCTTTTCGGCCCCTTAACGTTACTTTCTAGTAGACAGAGTACCTAGGTATCTGTTTAATGTTTTCTGCCTATATAACAAGCTAAGAGTAATACTACCTAGAGGTTTTACAAGCCTAATAATAAAATTTTAAGATATATTTCTAAGACCTTAACACTTTTCTACTAATAATAACACTTTCTATTAGTATTAACTTTGTAGGTATTATATATTACACAAATATATACGCCTTAAACACTTTACTAGCTTTAGAGAAGCTAGTTCTATAGACTATCTTAAGAATTAGTTAAATACTATAGTACTTATAGTAGTTATAGAATTTTATTTAGAGTAGTAAGAGCTATATTCTTATAACTCTCTTAGTAAATAGTATTATAGTATTTTTAAATCTATTATAAGTTCTATAATTAGTATAATAATCTAAAAGTATATAAAAACCTTATATATTACCTTTATAGATAGTATTATAAGAGAAACTACTATATTTATAATACTAGATTTATAATAGTAGCTTAGCTAAGTAGAAATATTATATCTTAGAAATTACTTATTTAAAAATTAAATATATAGATAATTATATATATAATATATTTATTATTCTAAGTTATAGATAGCTATATAAGTATCTTTTAGTAGTAAAAAGATCTAGTCTAGACTAGTTTATACTTAATTAATTATTATAGAATATCTAGAATATAGTCTATCTAAAATAATATTAAGATTTTATCTAGAAAGTTATTAATAATAAGAGAAAAAATAAAAGGCTATTAAAGTTAGATATATAATATATTATATCTAGCTTATCTAAGTAGTCTAAGATATTATAAAAAGACTATTTATAAGAAATAATAACTCTATATTAAAGAAGAAGATATTACTCTTTATAGCTATTAATAAAAGTTCTAATCTTTTCTTTTTAAGTATTTATCTAAATTCTATAGATATAGATTTTTCTACTTATATATAAATTATTATATATTAGAACTAGATTAAAACTTAAAGTCTAAAAAGAAAAATATATAGAGAGATAAAAATAATTACTTAATTAAAGATAGATAATTTAGAATATAGTATAGTTATTACTTTTATTATAATTATTAAATTAGAAAGATAATTTTCTTTCTTTATACTTCTATTTAAAAATTCTATAGATTTATATTACTACTACTATATACTATATTAAGAAGCTTATAGAGAAGTATATTAGTTTATTTATTTATATACCTTTTATAGTCTACTTCTATTATAAAAAGTATTTAATACTTTCTAAATCTAAGAATTAAAGCCTCTAGTAAATATATTCTAAAATTAAAGAATTAGGTTATTATATTATTAAGTAGAAATCTAAATCTTAAGTAGTAATACTTATAGCTTAAAGAGCTACTAATTCTAAAGAGGTAAGAACTATTACTAGTACTCTAAAGAATATATAACTAAATCTTTTATTTACTCTTAGAAGTATAGTATTAAGTAAGCTAAGGCTTAGAGCTTTAGCGCTACTACCTCTAAAGTAGTTAAAGCTTCTAAATTTTTTAAGCCTATAAGATAGCTATTTTAATACTAAATACTTTATAAGAGAATTATAATACTAAATACCTTATAAGAGAACTTTATAAGAAGATTATAATCTAATTATACGCACTTATTAGCTTATAACTAATAGAGTAATATATTCTAAAGCTTTATAGTTAGAACGCGTATACTAATAGTTTAGTAAAAGCGCGCTTCTTTTATTCTTTATATTTCTATAACTTTTAGAACTTTAAATATATATTAAAAAGCTAATAGTAATTTAAATCTAATGCTAAAAGCTACGCTAATACGTATACTAAATTACTATCTTATAAGTCTTATAGGTAATTATAAGTTAATATTAAACTAATCTTATTACTAGTTATATTATCTTACTACCTTACTAAAGCTTATAAGCTGCTTTATTATTAATTAATTACTTCTATTACTATATTACTATTACTAAAGTCTTTATAGATTACTCTAATTATATTAAAAAGAAAGCTATTATAGTAGCTATTCTAAAAGCTGTTTTAGTAGCTATTGCATAGAATATTATCTATAATATAATACCTAACGTTTTAAGCACTCTAAGAGGTATCTCTAAATATTTAAAAAGCTACTTTACCTACACTTCTATTAAAGATTCTATTCTAGCTTTTATTAAAGCTTCTATTAAAGCTTTAGTTATTACTATTTTATAAACGTATTTGCCTAGGTTAAGGCTTTTTATTATCTTCTTTTTTAGTCTTACTTTTAAAGAGCTTATTAGTAAGATATATAAGCTCTTTTATAAATATTCTCTTATTAAAGATATAGATTAGGTTAAAGATTACTTTATTACTAGTATAAAGAAGTTAGACTTACTAATTACTTACGCTATTAATATTTATAACTTTATATATACTCTAAAGTCTAAAATAAAGCTATCTCTAGGTATAGAGGCTACTATTTAGTAGTAGTGTAGTGCCTTAGCTAGAATTTATTGTGTAGATATTAAGAATTAGAATACTAAGAATATAGCGTTTCTAGCTTATACTATACTCTCTAACACTATTACTTAGATAGATACTATAGAGTTGTACTATAGTTATCTTTAAGATCTATATTATAATTAGTAGTCTTTATATTATTCTTGTTAGCTATAGAATTAAGATAAGGTTATTATTAATAGCTAAGAATAAATATAGTAAGTCTAGTTAGTAGTATACCTATTACTATATATTATATTAATTATTTCTAGTTATTTCTAGTTATAATATAAACTAGAAAGTTATATAGGTAAGTGTAGAATAAGTCTATACTATAGGCTAAAACAACTATATTACCTTAGTAATATATACTAAATTAATATTAAAATTATTTAGTAGTTCTAAAAGAGACTAGCTTAAAGTCTTTTAACGTCTTTTAATATCTTTTAATATTATTTTACTATAAAGATAATACTAAATTAGACTTAAGGCACTGTAGGTTATTATATAAGACTTTTCTACTATATTAGATTTTAAATTTTAAATTTAGAATCTTTAATAGAAGTTTAAACCTATAATCTATAGTACTTATATATATACTACTAATATAGAAGTTACTATATATTTTAGTCTATTAGGCTAAGATATAATATATTTATACTATTAAAAGAAAAGTATTAGAGCTTTACTTTAAAACTTCTATAAAAATAGCTAATATTTCTATAATAGTTCTATTAATATAAGTAGTATTAGTAATACTATATTTTAAAGAATATATTAGTAATATAAATTATTTAAATTAGTATTTTCTAAAATAGTTCTTAGTAAAGTTCTAGTTAGAGTAGAATACTTTCTTTTTAAGAAGCCTAGAGAAATTTTTATAGATTAAAATCTAGCTAATTAAAATAGACTTAGTATATAAGAAGAAAATAAAAATTAAAAGAAAGAATCTATAGTAAGAAAAAGTATAATCTAAGTATATAGAATTAAAAACAAATACTAAAAATTAAAGCTTTATTTAAAATATAGTATAAATCTTTATTAACTATCTAAATCTAATATTATAAAAAGATAGTAAAATTCTATCTTAGATAAAGAGCTATTCTAATAGTACTATAGTTACGTTCTTAGCTCTTTAGATTATAAAAATGCTCTAGTTCTTAATTATACTATATTTTATAATTTACTTAATACTACTCTTTTTAGCTTATATATTATACTTCTAATACTTTTTTATAATAACTCTTAGTATATTTAAAGAGAAACTTCTATTTACTTCTACCTCTAAATATAGAGTTTTTTAATAATCTAATAGCTTTAGAAATTTATTACTTAACTACTACTTTAAAGAAGTTTGTCTTTAAGTTTTAAATATAGGCTTCTAATACTATAATCTCTTATAAGTATATTATTATTATAATTATAAAAACACTTTATTTTAATATTTTTAAGAAACTTAATAAAAGTAAATAGAATAATATAAATACTACTAGAGTT